TTTTTAGATGGAGTCTGGCTCTCACTCAGGCTGGAGTGCAGTGGCATGATATCGGCTCACTGCAACCTCTGTCTCCTGGTTCAAGCAATTCTCCTGCCTCAGCCTCCTGAGTAGCTGCGATTACAGGTGTGTGCCAACTGGCCCAGCTAATTTTTGTATGGACGGGGTTTCACCATGTAGGCCAGGCTGGTCTCGAACTCCTGACCTCAGATGATCCGTCCACCTTGGCCTCCCAAAGTGCTGGGATTACAAGCATGAGCCACTGCGCCCAACCTGAACTTTTAAAATATATATTGAGGGAGCTGAAAAAGGAAGGGAGATATAACAGAAGCAAGGACCATCCGTCACACAGAAAGTCAATACATGACGTTTGAAGCAAAGGTTGTGAAATCACATCACAAGCTTGTCATTGAGGTAAATCCCAGGGGAAAATGCCTGACAGAATTCAAAGTATTGGCCTTAAAAGTCGGGAGTCCAGGAGCTGGAGCCGGGAGCTGAGAAGGCTTGTGAGTCCGTTTTTGATAAACCTAAACTGTACCATGCATCCTTTACATTTGAAAGTTTTGAAAAGTTAAAGATTAAAACAAATCATAAGAGCCTTGCAGAGCTGTGTTCTCCTCACCAGTCCCCTGCCCGACGACAGCCCCTTGGCAATCCACAGACAGGGCTCCCACTACCACGGTTATCTCAGGCCACAAGCCCCGGTGCCTCCTCCCTCTCATGTGGGAGGTTATGTAACCCATCCAGGGTCAAAAAGGCAGTGGGTGTCAGTCCACAGTCATGGCTCAGGGCTTCTTTGACCGACAGCAGAACAGGGACCTCCTTGGGGTGGAGCCTGTGAGTGCCCTCGTGCTGTAACTCAACCCAGTTCCCCGTTGTGGCTCCACAGGGAGCGCAGAGAAAGTCAGCCCACACCCACGTTCACCTGAGGACACCCGAGTGGGGCAGAGCGGGCCCTCCCTGCTCCACCCCATGCAGGATACATGCCCTGGTCTTTCTGATGCACGCTGCTGCATATTTCAAAATGAGCAAATAAGTACGTTCCTGAACATGGCCAGTGGGGAAGAAAGGATATTATTGCCCTCATTTTGTGGATGAGAAAATTGAAATTAAAAGAGGGTAGTGGGCCGGGCACGGTGGCTCATGCCTGTAATCCTAGTGCTTTGGGAGGCAGAGGCAGGTGGATGACCTGAGCTCAGGAGTTCAAGACCAGCCTGGGCAACATGGTGAAACCCTGTCTCTACTAAAACACAAAAATTAGCCAGGCGTGGTGGCAGGCACCTATAGTCCCAGCTAGTAGGGAGGCTGAGGCCGGAGAATTGCTTGAACCTGGGAGAGGGAAGTTGCCGTAAGCTGAGATTGCACCATTACACTCCAGCCTGGCCAACAGAGTGAAAACTCTATCTCCAAACAAAAAGAGAGAGAGAGAGAGAGAGAGAGAGACGATAGTGACTTGTTCAGGGCACACCACTGATCCCACCCTGATTTGGATGCAGGCCTGACATTAGCACCTGGGTTCTTGGGTCACTGGGGTAAAGCACACTGACTCGGGTTTGTAAAATGTGGGCCAAATAGCAGCTGAGTCACTGCGTTGCTGTGAAGGTCAGATGAGGTCAGGTAGGTATGGGACTCTTGGGAGGGTTGTTGGCACATCCCAACCACAGCACACATTTCAGCCACTAATGGCGATGATGTCAGAGCTGGGAGGGCTAGAGAGATGCCCCAGACCCGGGGTTCAGGCATAGCCTGTTGAGGCTCCCTTGAGAATCCAATGAAAGCAGATGACCCTCTGTTCTGCAGGAAGCCTTAAGACAGTGTCTTGCATGTTAAGACCCTCCTAGGTGCTCTAACATCTTTCATTTCCACAGACGATAAAATGAAGCCTCTGGCTGATATTTCCTTGGATCTGTTTCCCAGCTCAGGAAAGTATTTTGAATTCTGAAGTAGACATCTGGAGCCTGCGACTGAGCAGCCGCCCCACTAGGAAAGGGGAAAGACTTCTGGTTGCCTTCCAAAAAGAAGAGAGAAGGCGCATGTCTCCTCCACGACCTAACAGTACACAGCAAGATAAAATTACCTCCGCAAGCCACTGCAGAAGCAGAGAATAAACTGGACATCCAACTGTCCGAAGGCATGAACATATTTGCAGGCACAAAAATATCTGCAGGCACCTCCCCTGTCCAGACTCAGGCTGGGCCCCTCCATCACACCAGGCCCCACAGCCGAGTGGAAGCCTGCAGGTCAGGAAGGAGGAGCCCTGGCTGCTTTCAACACTTCCATGGTGAAACCATGCAGAGAAGCACTTCTCATATTAATCCATCTAACACACATTCCAAGAGCACCTACTATGTGTAAGGTACACAGTGGAACAGGCAAATGAGCAAACAGAATCTCCACAGGAAGGGGTGAGTGATGGTCCAGCAGTTCTCATACAATGCTGCGGGACAGAAGACACACTCTAGCTGGGAGAGCTGAGCAGGAAGGAACACTGGGGCTTGTTAAAACAGGTGATATTGGAAGTGGCTATATCAAGGTGCCCCAAAGTCAACTCATGACCCTTACCACCAACCTGACCTTTCTCTGCTCAGTGAAAGTTGCCATCATCCATTTCAGTTACATGTCACACCTACCACACTCTCTCTGCATACACGTCTTGGGTCTTGCTGACTTTTCCTCCTCGATGTCCCCACTGTCCACTTCTCACCATCTTTAACTTCTACTTCAGCAACTTCTCCTTTTGTCCACCCTCCAGTCCAATTTCACACTGCAGTCTGAATGACCTCATCTAAGAACAGGTGATCATGGTTAATCCCTTTTGAAAATATTTCAGTGGGCTGGGCATGGTGGCTCATGCCTGTAATTCCAGCACTTATCGAAGCCAAGGTGGGTGGATCACCTGAGGTCAGGAGTTCAAGACCGTCCTGGCCAACATGTCTATACAAAAATACAAACATTAGCTGGGAGTGTTGGCATGCACCGTAATCCCAGCTACTCGGAGGCTGAGGCAGGAGAATCGCTTGAATCTGGGAGGTGGAGGTTGCTGTGAGCTGAGACCATGCCATTTTACTCCAGCCTGGGAGAGTAAGACTCCATCTCATAATACATATATATTTTTTGAGGCGTGGTCTGGGGGAGCTGGGGGGAAATATATATTTCCCCCCAGCTCCCCTGTAGGATGTGTTCTCTTTCTCGCAGTATTTCATGAGAACTTTTCAAGAACAGGGCATAGGAGGCCCCGCTTGGTCTGGCCTAGACCTTTCTTTCTGCCTCGCCTTGCGTAGAAACCCTCCTCATTATCCCCCCTCTGCAGGGACGCCCTGCTTGTCATAGTCCCCAGGCTCCTTCTCATCTCACCTCTTTGCATACGTTCTTCCCTCTCTCTAGCCATGTCCATTTCTCTTCCCCTCTTTGCCTGGATGATGCCCTTCATTATTTATTTTCTGGCTGCCCAGACACTCATTCATTAGAGGTGCTAAAACCTGAGAAAATAAACTGTTGGAAGGATTGTTTGATCAGCTGCTTGGAACTGATGCGTTTTCTAAGGGGCAGGCCTCAATCACCATGGCTGGCAGTCGACTGCTTCCCTAGAATATTGCGTCTGGGTAAATACTAGGCTTTTGCTTTGCTAGTAATTAGGGTGTGCAAATATGGGCCACAGCTGAGTTGTTCAGGCCAGGAAAGAGGAGCCAAGGACTGTCAAAAGAAACCTTCCTTTTTCTAAACCTTCCTCCACAGAATGCTGTTCCTCCTCCAAATAAATGTTAAACTAGTTTTAGTTGAAATTGAGAGCAAAACCCACAAACAATAAAAAGGAAGTCAGGAGAAGCAGAAAAAAAAATGCACAGAAGAATGTGTCATTAAAAGTTAAATATTGTCAGAAAAATAAGAGATGATTGGATGCATAAAACAAGGACATTATGCTATGGCAAAGAAACAATCAGAGAACAAGAAAGAGCTCTTAGAAATTGAAAATGTAGGCTGGGTGCAGTGGCTCACGCCTGTAATCCCAACACTTTAGGAGTCTGAGGCAGGTGGATCACTTGAGGCCAGGAGTTCAAGACCAGCCTGGACAACATGGTGAAACCCTGTCTTTACTAAAAATACAAAAAATTAGTCAGGCGTGGTGGTGGGTGCCTGTAATCCCAGCTACTCAGGAGGCTGAGGCAGGAGAATAGCTTGACCCTGGGAAGCAGAGGTTGCAATAAGCTGGGATCACACCATTGCACTCCAGCCTGGGCAACAAGAGCAAAACTCCCTCAAAAAAAACCTAAAGAAAAAACAAAAAGAAAGAAATTTAAAATGTAATCGCTGTTTGGTCCAGAGCGTGTCAATGCTGTAACAAACCATCACACTCGCAGTGGGTTGTGACTATGAAAGCTTATTTTCATGTTCCCATCACAGTCCCATTCTCCCTCAAGTCATAGAAGGAATCAGCTCCAGGTTGCCATTCAGGGACCCAGGTAACCTCCTTCATGAGGTCTTGCCACCTCCTAGGATATTGAAGTACCCTGCTTCTAGCCAGCAGGTGAAAGAGAGCAGGAAAAGAAAAGAAGGTACAGAAAGGAAATAAAAGCTATTGGGCACCACTGGGGAAGTTAGGGCACCAACTCATTTCTCTGAAAATTGTTAATTAAAGGAAAATAATTAAGCATGTTTTGTGCCTAACTGCATTTTCCGTTCACTAAATAGCCAAAATGAATGAAGGAAAGCTCTTCTATACAGAAGGATTTCATCTACTAAATGCAGAAAAAATATAGAATTAGAAAATCATCATTTTTAAGCCCCTGATAAAGTAACTGATTTGAGCAATGGTTTTCAATGGGTGGCAAAATCACTCAGTGAGACTGATGGAGAACTTTTCAGTGAAGGGTAAGGTTGCCACTGCCTGAACCTAAAGATAGATCTTGGTGTCATTAAAAGCAAGACCATCAGACATCATATGCCTCCAGATGTGATGCATTGGAGACGTACAAGGTACCCCATGAAGCATAAAGAAGCAAGTGACTGTATCCCTAGTGTAAAAACTCTACATGAGAATTGACCTCATTTCTTCAGGAAGTCAACAGCACTGAGAAAAAATATAGGGAGAGGTATTAATTTATGTTAAAATGGAGTTAGAGGCTGGGCACGGTGGCTCATCCCTCTAGTCCCAGCACTTTGGGAGGCCAAGGCAGGCAGATCACTTGAGATCAGGAGTTTGAGGCCAGCTTGGCCAATGTGGTGAAACCCCATCTCTATTAAAAATACAAAAATTAGCTGGGCATGGTGGCCCACACCTGTAGTGCCAGCTACTCAAGAGGATAAGGCATGAGTATCGCTTGAACTGGGGAGATGGAGGTTGCAGTGAGCCAAGATCATGCCACTGCACTTCAGTCTGGGTGACAGAGTGAGACTCCATCTCAAATAATCATCATCATAATAATTTTTAAAAAGTCAACTAATAACATAAGGTGATGAATCTGGAAAGGATGGCAAAAAAGCACACTTCATAAATATGAAGGAATATGAAGAAAACACTTGTATTAGGGTTCTCTAGAAGGACAGAACTAATAAGATACATATACATAAAGGGGAGTTTATTAAGTATTAACTCACACGATCACAAGGTCCCACAATAGGCTGTCGGCAAGCTTGAGGGGCAAGGAGAGCCAGTTCGAGTCTCAAAACTGAAGAACTTGGAGTCCAATGTTCAAGGGCAGGGATCATCTAGCAGGGGAGAAAGATATAGGCTGGGAGGCTCGGCCAGTCTTCCCTCTTCATGTTTTTCTGCCTGCTTTATATTCACTGGCAGCTGATTAGACGGTGCCCACCAGATTAAGGGTAGGCCTGCCTTTCCCAGCCCACTGACTCAAATGTTAATCTCCTTTGGCAACACCCTCACAGACACACCCAGGGTCAGTACTTTGCATCTTCGATCAAGGTGACACCCAGTATTAACCATCACGAGTCCACCCCTTGTCAACTTGAACCCATACACCTCTCCTGAGATCATACATCATCTTCAAATTAAGACAATAAGATGGTCATAATTATGCCTCGAATAATACAACTATCCTTCATACAACTGGAAACCCAGCAATCCCCAACCCAAATATTAGTACATAAAGTTATCAATACTTAAATGCTGATATGAAGTTAGTAAACCTTATGTCACATGATAAAGGAAAAAGAAATAAAACGAAGGTATTTTCTTAGTCCAAGTGTATACATGCACAAGCATCTTTTGAACAAAAAACAAAAAAGGAACTACTATTGATAGTTACTGTCCTTGTTTCTGCAGCTGGTCACGTGGTCGTAGCTGGTATTGATGGCTACCTTCTTCTACTGCCCATTCCGTATTCCCTTTGCCTTCAGACAGCACCTCAGCAGGTCGTGGTCCTTTTTTTTTCTTGATGGAGTGACTCAAGTCTTCATTCCTGGGGGATCTGGACCATTTGTAGTCTTGCCTGGATTGGGCTGTTACAGTTTCCCATTGACCTTAATCAAAGGGCATGGTAATAAGGGATGCCCTAATGGATGTCCTGTATTCCACGCATACTCTTCCTTACCTTTGTTAATGGCGTAGTAGACTGATTTCAACTTGATAGTCCACTTTCCCACTCCATGTTGAGAACTACTTCCACTCGGTGAAAACTTGCACTCATTCTCTAAGTCCCGTGTAATCTGATTCTTCCAGTACACCAAGGCAAGAACCCTGGGATACAGAAAGCCCTCTGTCCTTGTGATATGGCAGAGGGTTTAATCAAGCTGATTAACACCAGCTGCCCATGACTGCAAAGCTAAAAGAGTGCTCTATCACACACACCCACTGGGGCTTCAGGAGCTGTAAGCATTCACCCCTGGATGCAGCTGTGGGGTTGAAGCCCCACAACCTGCCCATGTGCATGCTCCCCCTGGAGGTTTGAGCAGCAGGGTACCAAAGAAGCCAGCCACGCCTCCATTGCAGGCCCTGCGATGGGGATAAGGGAGCTTTTCCCATTTGATTTGTGCTGTGATTCAGTTCCCTGGGTGACCCCGCAGGGAGGCTGGAGGGAGAGAGTTCTCCCAGAGGGATCATCCCATACCCACTTCCACCTAAGAATACCCCATGGGGCAGAGCAGGTCCTCCCTGCTCCACCCCAAGCAGGCCTTGTGCCCTAGCCTTTCTGGGGTGTGCTCCTGCATACTTCAAGCTTTGCCAACATGAGATACTCTGACTCAGGGGTAGGGTCAGGTGGGGAGAAATGAATGAGACCGGGTCAAGCCAACCCAAGCCTATGTACCGAGTTAAGGATATACACATTCACTGGGCAATGGGGCAGAGGATATTAAAGTTTAGATGGCTGGCCCATGGTCTCACAACGGCTGTGGAGTGTGGTAGTGAAGTTCCTGGACTCTGCAGCCAGACTGCCAACCTTTGAGCCTGTTCTACTGTGGATCTGGGCAAGTACTTGACCCTTCTGTGCTTCCACTTTCCTCTGCCAGATGGTGAGGCTAACACACACTACTTTTTTTTTTTTTTTTTTTTTTTTTTTTTTGAGACAGAGTTTCACTCTTGTTGCCCAGACTGGAAAGCAATGGCACGATCTCGGCTCACCGTAACCTCCGCCATCTGGGTTCAAGTGATTCTCCTGCCTCAGCCTCCCGAGTAGCTGGGATTACAGGCTTGTGCCACCATGCCTAGCTAAATTTTTTTGTATTTTTTAGTAGAGACGGGGTTTCTCCATGTTGGTCAAGCTGGTCTCGAACTCCTGACCTTGTGATCCGCCCACCTCAGCCTTCCAAAGTGCTGGGATTACAGGTGTGAGCCGCAGCACCCAGCCAACACATGCTACTTCTTAGGGTTATTATGAGGACTGAATAAGCCAATACCCATGAAAGGCTGAGGACAGAGCCTGGCTTCCCTGCCATCTCCCTGTAACTCACTCCCAGTGTGGGGATGCATCCAAATGGGTGTTCAGAGAGAGCTATGAACTGCTCCAGAAATCAGGAGGAAGGGGACTCCCTGGTTTACATTCTAGAAAGAACAGAGAAGGCTCCTGCTTCCTGCATGACCTCCCCACACACAGTGAGATAAAATTAACTCTGTAAGTCACAGTAGAGGCAGAAGATAAATCCCAGATCATTCTGTCATGAGGCTGAAACAAATTTCTGAAGGCTTCTCTGATCCAGACTCTGACGCAGGGCAGCCTGCAGGTGAGGACCTTTCAGTTGGACAAGCATCATATCTGACCACAAAAGGCAAAGTCAGAGTTTAAACCCAGGTCTGTCTGACGCAGAACTTACACTGCTGGGAGGCAGAGGGCAGAAGAGTGATACAGCTTGGACTTAAAAATAAATTAATGAAGCCGGGCACAGTGGCTCACGCCAGTAATCCTAGCACTTTGGGAGGCCAAGGCAGGTGGATCATGAGGTCAGGAGATCGAGACCAGCCTGGCCAACATGGTGAAACCCCATCTCTACTAAAAATACAAAAATCAGCTGGGCGTGGTGGCAGGCGCCTGTAGTCCCAGCTACTCGGGAGGCTGAGGCAAGAGAATCACTTGAACCTGGGGGGTGGAGGTTGCAGTGAACCGAGATCATGCCACTGCACTCCAGCCTGGGCAACAGAGCAAGACTCCATCTCAAATAAATAAATAAATAAATAAAATAAATTAGTGAAGTAATTTAATTCAATTTTTTAAAAAAGTAAGTTGAAATTACTCCTTGATCCATGGACTCTAGATGGATGCTGTGTTCATAGGCATGAAAACAACATTCATCTCCTATACATCTCCATCAGAGCTGTTGGGTGACCAGGTGCATTGTCACTCAGCAGTAATATTTTAAAAAGCAACTTTTTTTCTATTCAATAAATTTCAGTAAGGTGGGCTTAAAATATTCAGGGCCAGTCACAGTGGTTCACGCCTGTAATCCCAGCACTTTGGGGGGCTGAGTTGGGCAGATCACCTGAGGTCAGGAGTTTAAGACCAGTCTGGCCAAGATGGTGAAACCCTGTCTC